CTGAATTCCGAAGGAACGAGTGACGCACGACCTAGACCTTCTCCATCAGTACGCCAGTGCCGTCCTGAAGGATGGGGAACTATTCACCGTTAAAAAAGCTTTCCGACTAGGCAAAGCGGACCCAAATCGTGACCTAAAAACCTTCCCAAGAGCCCTGAAAGTTATTTTGGAAAACGAAGCCCAAGCAGCGCTTTTGTTAGAACGTAGAACGACCTTACGCAATTCGCACAAGGAAGTGTTTTTTCAACCAGACTACGAACCGAGGGAAAGACTGAAAATGAGAGAACTGAGATCAGAATTGAAGGAGAGAATTGGCAGAGGAGAGAAAGGGCTGAAGATCAAAAATGGACAAATAGTCCAAACAAAGGGGTCTTTCCTGTGGTCAGAACCCGTCACAATGAAGGCCGGGCCTCTCCAACAAATCAGTCATTGAAGGTTATATCCGCAAATGTGCAAAGCCTCTTCAACAAACTAGACGAACTAAGAGACTTAGTTGATGAAATTAAGCCAGACATTATGGCATTCACAGAAACGTGGCTTAGTGAAGATATCGCAGATTCAGAAATATCACTTAGAGGATATCAGCAATTCAGGAGAGATAGACTAAGCCGAGGAGGAGGAGTCATAATTTATGTCACTTGCAAGCTGAGCGCTATGGCTGATGTACATAGACCGGTACGGGATGTGGAACTGCTAAGCGTTACCATATCTACTAAGAATGTCCTATCATTGACGCTTTCGGTGGTGTACCGTTCACATAACCATTTTTCTGACCAAGATTTCATGCTCATATCCGAAGTGTACAAAGCTAGCGAGAAGAAAGATTTCCTTATCGTTGGGGATTTTAACGCTCCTGGCATTGATTGGCTAACGTGGACTGCACAAGGGCCGCAAGATGGCTTTAATCACAAACTACTAAAATGGGCAACGGACAACCTTCTCTGCCAGAATGTTACCTTTGGAACACGGGTCAGGGAAGGGCAGCAGTCGAACTGTCTTGATCTTATTTTTACCCGAGAGGAGGAAAATGTGTTAGACCTGCAGGACCGACAGCCATTAGGGTCAAGCGACCACATCACAAACCGCCCAAAATGGATAAACCCGGACTTGAAGGCCCCTTTCAGAAAAAGTAATCGTCTGTGGAGGCGTTACAGACTAACTGGCTCCGACGAACACTTACAGGACTATAAGCGGCAGCGAAACGTCTGTAAAAGTGAGGCCTCAAAGCTGCGAAAGAAGTTTGAACTAAACATCCTCCAAAATTCGTTGGAGCATCCGAAAATTCTATATGGTTATATACGATGTACTAAAAGGACTCAGGAGCTTATCCCTGCCCTCAGGTCTGCAGATGGAAAAGTGGAGATTGATGACCAGGTTAATGCGTCCCTCTTTTCCGTCTTCTTTCAGTCCGTCTTCACCCGAGAACCTAGTTCTATATTTGCGCATCCATCCATTCGCCAACCAACCTCTCCTCCCAGTAACCTTCCTCATCCTATCCCCTCCCTTCCCTCCTTAACCGAGGAACCACTCTTTTCATCTACCATTGTTAGGGCCGAGCTACTCCGGCTGAAACCTGCCAAATCGCCTGGCCCAGATAGAATTCCCGCCCTAGCACTTCGTGAAATTGCTAATGAACTGTGCAAACCCTTATCCGCAATATTTCAAAAGTCCTTTGAAGACGGCGAGCTCCCGGAAGAATGGAAGTGCGCACTCATTACTCCGATCCATACAGGAGGCTCAAGACTTGACTGCGGAAATTATCGTCCTGTCAGTATTACTTGCATCGCGTGTAAAATAATGGAACGTATTATCAAAAGACACTTGATGAAATACCTGGAACAGAACAAAATATTGTGTGATGCCCAACACGGCTTTCGTCCAGGGCGCTCCTGCCTAACGAGTGTTCTTTACTCGCACGAGAAATGGACACGAGCTACCGATAAGGGTTTTCCAGTAGATGTCATATTTTTGACTTCAAGAAGGCCTTTGACAGTGTCCCACACAGGCTTCTTTTACAAAAGATCTGGGATGTAGGAATTCAAGGAGGAATTTTTATATCGATCATGAGTTTTTTGTCCTCCGGAGTACAAAGAATCGTCGTTGGCAACTCTATGTCGGGATGGGCAGAGGTGGAAAGTGGTGTCCCACAGGGTTCTGTCTTAGGCCCAGTACTCTTCCTGATTTATGTTAATAACTGCACCAGCGAAGTGAATTGCGAGACTCTCATGTTCGCGGATGACATAAAAATATGGAGTGAAGTCAAATGCGATGATGACGCAAAGAAGTTGCAGTCGAAAATCGACAAACTGTGTGATTGGTCGAATAGATGGCTTTTGAAGTTTAACGTGTCCAAATGCGTGGTCTCGCACCTGAACACCGGCCGCAATGCCTCTCCCAAACATCAGTACTATATTGACGGGACGAAGTTAGAAACTGTGGAAAGACACAGAGATCTGGGTGTATGGACGACCACAAATCTATCGCCATCAGAACACTGTAGAAAGATGGTCCAGAAGGCAACTAGTACTCTACATTGGATCAGACGTGCATTTAAAATATTTCCTCCCGAACTTTTCGAAAGACTCTTTGGTGTCTTTGTAAGACCTCATCTAGAGTATGGAATGCCAGCAGCCTCACCATGGATGAGGAAGGATATCGACTTACTCGAACAGGTGCAAAGCAGAGCGACAAAGATGGTCGACGGTCTAAAGCATTTGTCTTATCAGGAGAGGCTAAATTTGCCTGGCCTATTCCCTCTCTCTTATAGACAAATAAACTGCAGTCTACTCTGGACGTTCCGGATTGTTCGCGGCCAGGGTTGCTCATTAAGAGCGGAGGACTTCTTTGAGTTCGCCCGTACAAACCAACTACGCGGCCATGCCTACAAAGTCAGAAATGAGCGAACGTGGTAAGACCGTCGAAAATTTTCACTCAACCAGAGGGTTTTCCGACCGTGGAACTCACGTACAAGCGAGATGGTGACGGCTGACACAATTTGTATGTTTAATAGTAAGCTTGCTTGCCTAGTTTTCCAAGGAAATCGGCTTGTACAGCAAGGCCATGCACAGCCAGTTTTGTAAAATCTGTCATATACAATCCCTCCGCAATAATCTACAGTGGCCTTATGCACCACCTTATGATTACGATTGAACTGTGACCAGATTACATTTTAGATGTCTGCAATTTTATTTTTGAGTACGAATCTGCGAAAGCAGTATACATAAATAGGGTCATCAAGGGCTCTGTCTCTAACCCTCCAAATATATACATATACAACATATATCGATATGCGTAAAGATTCGAGGTCCAGACATTGTATCGCGTTCATCATCTCCCGAAGAAGACGAGGAAGAATAGAGGGCGAATTCATGGACCACATTGTATTCGAACTGACGTTTCGGAAACTTCCTCTTTTCCATCATCAGAGTAGCCTAATTGTTGCAATTGCCGGTCTTGAGTTGTTCAGTCTTGTCGCTTGCCTCGTATTATAGCCGTGCTGGACGCACGAACTTTGACCTGCCTGTTTGCCGCTGACTGGCTTAGACCTCCCCGGAGCTGACCGCTGACAGGCCTGCGTGACTTTTGTTCCGTTTGGGGTCGGCGTAATTGTGGTCAAGTCAACGTGCCGCTTGGTCCCTCCCACTTCAGCCGGTGGACTGATCGGTCGTTGCTGTTCAGGTGAGCAGCATTCAGCTTCGCGGGCGCATCGGTGAGACAGTGTTCGGCTTTGGTCACATGACCTCTGGCCCCCAATTCCGCTCTTTTCCGTGAGCGTTGACTCTCGGTCCCGCGTGCTCGCTTGCCTTACTGGTCCTGTCCGGACTGATTCGAGCCTTGTACGCAGCGCCTGTTAGGCGGGATGAAGATCTATAGTTCCGTTGATTGTGCCAGCCGAGGACCAACTTTCGAGCACCAGTCTGGCTATCTTCTCATTGGCTCTGCCAATTACCCTCGCTTTCTCAAAGGCAAAATCGTGGTTCAGTTCTCTTATGTGGCCAAAGACCAAAGACAGCTTGTCCTTGCGGTTGATTGCAGGTTGGTGTTCGTGCAATCTTGTACCGAGGCGTTTGCCCGTTTCACCAACATACCTTGCATCGCAATTTAGGCATGGTATGCTGTAGACCACCGCAGACTGTTCTGTTGTTGGTAGCGGGTCTTTGGGCTTCATGATTTGCTGTCTGATGGTGCATTCTGGTTTATGAGCCACGCCAATCCCAAAAGGTTTCAGGATTCTTGCCGTTGCCTCTGATACGTTCTTCACATGGGGTATTGAGAGCCAGAACTTAGGCCAGAACGTCAAGGTCAAGCCGCTGGTTTTAAATTTGAAGATAATCAGTATCAGTATCAGTTTATTAAGGGAAATATAGGCAAGCGCCTTTGAATTCCCTCTTGGTTACAAGTCGTCGGAGAAAAACATTGATAAATGGGAAGGTGAAAAAGGGATTTTGTACGTACTCGCGGACAACTGCCAGCTAGCCGAAAAAGAGTAATCATTAATGGTTACTTACTAATTACAAGTAGTATAAACACATATAAGAGAATACCGGGTTATGTGAGTGGATGTGGGGGTGGTAATTGGGAAGCTTGATGCAGGTCAAGTCTACACTTGAAGGAGTTCACACAGGAAGAGGTTACAACATCGGTAGGTAGGGCATTCCAGGCTGCAACCACTCTGTTACTGAAAAAGGACTTTCGTCCATTGGTTCTTGATTTCCCTGCGCGTAGTTTCAGGGGATGACCGCGCAAATTGGGCGTGTTAGCTTGGGTGAAATAATCAGTGGGATCTAAACAACAGTCTAGGCCGTTGATGATGCGAAATGTTAGTATAAGGTCACCACGTAATTGCCTGTAGGAAAGGGGGAACAGGTTGAGGATTGACAGTCTGGTTTCATAGGACAGTGCTCCCAGACCTTGTGTCATTTTGGTCGCCCGTCTCTGGACCTTCTCCAAGACGGTATAATTCTTGGCAGTCCAGGGTCTCCACGCCTGTATGGCGTATTCTAGATGAGGTCGCACGAAGGTGCCAAATATTTGGAGAAGCAGTCAGGGTCAAATCCCATAAATGCTCGCCTAATGAGTTGCAATGTGGCCGTAGCCGATTTAGCCGCCTTCGCGCAGTGCAGTGTTGGTTTGAGTGAAGATGTAATCCATACACCCAGGTCCTTCTGACTGTCAACCTGTTGCAGTGGTGTGCCGTTTAGAAAGTAGGTCCTGGGGCTGGGGGCTCTGAAGCCGCCGAGTTGAAGAAAGTTACACTTGCTTATATTGAAGGGCATAAGCCAGCGCTTCGACCAGTCTTCGAGCCTGTTCAAGTTTGCTTGCAGGTGGTCTGCGTCTGCCGCATTGTGAATAACTTTCCACAATTTTATGTCGTCGGCAAACAGGATGGCATCACAGTCTAGGTCCTTGACGCAGTCATTTACGAAAACGAGGAATAACGTGGGACCTAAGACTGAGCCCTGTGGGACGCCACTCACCACGCTTACATCTGACGACTGTTGACGCCCGACCTGCACTCTCTGGGACCGTCCAGCCAAAAAGCTCCGGACCCATACAAGAAGGCGTCCACGAATTCCAGCGTTGCGCAGTTTGTACAAGAGACGTTGATGAGGAACGCTGTCGAAAGCCTTTTTGAAGTCAATGTAGATGGCATGCACCACCTTGCCTTCATCACGTGCTTTGGTCCAGCGTTCGAGCGTAAAGAGCAGATTCGTGAGGCAGGACCTACCACTACGAAAGCCGTGTTGGGCATCAGAAAGGAGATGGTGCTGCTCGAGGAACTGCACCAAGGCCTTCTTAATGATCTTCTCCATGATTTTGCAACAGATGGAGGTAAGACTCACTGGCCTGTAGTTATTCGCAGACGCACGACTTCCACCCTT